TGCCGTCCGTCTCACCGTGAAATATTGTTGAACAGTTTTTCTTTTTTTACCTTTCCAATAAATCTAAATAACGCGATAGGGATAAAGGGTGGTTTTCGAAGATGAAAACGTACATCATAAACGTGTTATTATGTTGTCACTTATATTGCAATAACTGAAAGTAGAATGGAATGGTCTTCTATGTGAATGGTTTTTTAATTTGACAATTTGAATTTTTCTGTTCTATATATTGTATTTTTAATTAGAGAAAAACTTGGCTCTTCATATTAATTGGATTCATTAAATTAATCTTTGAAAATAGAGTAGCGTTAACTATTTTCCAAATAGTTTCGATTATTAATGTTCATACATGTTATTAAAATTCTAAAACTCGACGAGACACGTATATTCCGATGATTTTGTAGTTGTATAAAAATAGTTTCAAGCAAACACATCTTTTATTTCACTGATGAACGCAAAAGCGAGTGTTTATGAGTAAGTCATAAATGAATGCTTCAACGGATTACGTTACAGAATTAGAAAGTATCTTGGATTACAAGAGCACAGGCGGAAAATGTTATAAATAAAACGCCTAATTTAAGATTGATTTGATCTAATTCGCTTATATTGCGAGTAAAGTATAAAAAGCACAAATTTTCTGGTTATTAACTCCTCTTTCGATTTGAATATAAAGGTCAAAAATATCGATCAATAATATTTGCAAGCAATATTATTACACTAAATATGAGCGATAAATGGAATACAAGTTATTAACATTAATTTAAGCACATTTAAATAGCTTTTAGTTTTCACACAAGTAGTACGAATAACAGTTATTTAATTATGGCGTTGCAATGAAATAAGATTTTAACAATATAATAGTTTGTTCTGTGATTTGGGAATGTGTGTTATAAATATCGAATATTATTAAAAAATTTATTTAATGTTATAGTTTTTATGCTGAATTAAATTCTATCGGTTTAATTTAATATAATATGTTCACTGATCGGCTTTTCACAATTATTATTATAATTAATGTTTAATAATTTGTCATAATGTATACACATTTGTTATTTTCTTTGATTTTCATTACAGTGAATGGATCGCGCACAACATAGCACACGAATGATAAAAATAAATCTGCAATAAATATATGATATTCCATAAAAATTTTTTTGTTATAATATACAATACAGTAACGTTTTTAAAATATAAAAAATTAGAATCTTAAGATGTTTTGTTAATATTTCATTTATTTTTACGAAATTAAAATCATCAAGCGATAATTACATAAAAATATTGAATACGTTTCATAATATTTTATGTCTTGTTTATATTTTTATTGAACATAGAATCTTTGTATTCTCTCTCTCTCTCTCTCTCTCTCTCTCTCTCTCTCTCTCTCTCTCTCTCTCTTTCTCTCTCACACACTTGAATAGTAAAAAAACCTAGTTTGGCAGCGACGCTGCAATGCATCGACACAGAATTGTCGATCGCCTGGTTGATTTTACCTTCTCTGAGAGTTTATTTCCAGCAAGCAGAAATAGATGCATCCGTGATGGCTTACCGAAATATCCCCATATGAGACTCGTTTCCTCGTTATCACGTTTAATATGATAATTGAAGGTTAAAGATATATTTTTTGTAAAGCACATGTGAATATCTATTTTTAAAAATTCTTAAATATTTATTTATAGTAATTGGATCCACATTAATGGGTATTTATTGCACTTCTGATAAAATCGTTTTAGAATGAATTAATAAAAACTTCATTGAAAATCGATAAAATCTATATGTTCTAACATGCGTGCTATAAATATTTCGTTTATCTTCATTGTTGGCGGTATTGAATATATATTTTATCGGAAACGATTTACTATTATTCTCAATATTATTTCACGATGGTATTACAAAGTAACATCAAAGTGAAATAATAGTGAAATACATTTCCTCTATCTGCAGTTGAGAAAGAGAGAGAGAGAGAGAAAGTACTTCAGAATTTTAATTGAATAACAAAAATGTAGCAATTGTTAAAAAAACCTACTTAAGTTAAAAAACCTTTTGAGTAATTTAATATTAATAGATTTCATTGATAACTGAAAAATATTTCGTCTTTCGGAACATTTTTACGTCTTTTCGTCATTTCTGGCAGAGGTATTTCAGAAAGCAGCATTACATAAGAATATAAAACCGACTTTCTAATTTTAAGACTGTCTGCTGAATTTAAAATTGCGAAAATAATATTTAACATTCGAAACATATTAAGCTTCTTCTAGCGAGTAATAAAGCATTTATCCATATTATTATTTAACCAAACTTATTTTTAAAATTGATAATAGAATATTTTAACACACAGGACTCACTTTTTAAAATAATAATAATAAATTCAAGACTAATAAGAGTCAGCGCGAGAAAGGATGCGCAGTATTAGTATAGAATGATAACTTAACTCCATTGTTCTACGAAGTCTTCTTTATTATAAATTATTAAACTTTAATTGTCATAATTATAAGAAGCCCATCAGTAAACATATTGTATTAAATTAAACCGGCAGAATTTAATTCTTTATTCCAAGTTTTAAATGTGAGAACAACGGAGTTAAGTTATCTTTCCATACCAGTATTGCGCTGACTTTTATTAGCTTTGAATTTATTACTATTGTTATTTTAAAATTAATTTAATTGTGTAGTTTGATTATGTAGCGTATTAAAGCTACAAAATCATTGTCATGTTTGCATGATATTTTTTTTATGGTGTTTCAAATTCATCATATAGAAGTTACATTTATAACACTCCTAATAACAAACTATTCCATAGAATTAATTAATTACTTAAAAAAGCCGGATTACTACAAAAAAAAACACTACGTTTTTCCACATACACATCATTCAAAGCATTACGCACATAGTTATACACACACACACACACACACACACACACACACAACATGTGCGCCCTAACAGGGTGCAACCGGTGGTTTTGGTCTTGAAACCACGTGTCCGCGAATGAGAAGAGATAGAATTAATCGCGATTCATCCCGAAAAGACTCATCTCAGGATAACGTTTTATTTTGTCACAAATCAACGAAAAAATTTTCTACGCAATCTCACGTAGAAATTTACGAACACACGCACAACAAACGCATCATTATTGCACAAGGGCGCGAAAAATCGTATATCTTACACCCGCGAGCCGAGGGGTTCTTCGGGGTGCCGAGTCTCCTGTTTTCCTGACCGCTTTAAATCGGACCCCCGCGACGGAATATTTGTCGGAGCTCGAGGAACTATGCTGAGTGGAGCTATGCTGAGCTGAGCGGAGCGACGACTATTTTCAGCCTCGAGCCGAGCAAACTGCACCGCTCCGCTCCGCGTGTTTCCCATCATAGCTGAATAAACCTCGGAGACTCGCAATTGCGACGTTAGAATTATCGGAATAATTATTGAAATTATTATAATGATTGTCAGTGACTTTTTAATTAATACGTAATAAATATGATAATAAAAATAATTAAAAAATATGAATAATTTTTATATGGCATAGTTTTTTTTAACAATTTATTTAAAATTTTTCTTTGTTCAATGTTATTCATTTTTTTAACAAATTATTTTTTGCATCGTTCTTAAAATTCATGTATAATACATCGTTAAAGAAATACTAACATAAAACTCTTGGTGGTCGCAATAATAAATAGAATGATAGAAAATAATTACAATAATTGAATTTTTATAATTTTGAAATAATTATAAACATAACTAACATAAATCAAGATTAATGAGAATCAAACGCAGGTGATCAGGCGTAAGATCTTAAAATAATGAAAATTACGAATATTCTATCGATAAATGATGATAGAATTTTTATTTTGAACGTTTCAACTTTTTTTGGAATTCTCTTTAGCAATATAGATATATAACGAAATGTTCACATACCTGAAAAGATTGTGTTATTCACAAATTGCCAGAGATGAAGTATAAAATGTGGCGGTACAAGAAAACTGATTATTATGGAAGTAAAACATAAAAAAATAAAACATTAAAAAGTGGAGTAATTCATCTTAGTAGATGTCAAGAAGATTAGATATATAATTATTCACAGAATTGCAATTTGTATAAAAATCACACTTTATGTCTGATTTCTTGTGATGACATAAAGTGTGATTACATTTTATACAAATTGCAATTCTGTGAATAATTATGTATTTAAGGAGTGTCTGTATTATATTATGTCCATTAGAACATATCGCACAAGTTTAAAACAATATTAAAATAAATAAAAAATTACATAATAAATATTTATTGTATAATAATGTAATATTTGTTACATAATAAATATATATTATTGTATTAAATTTTTTTCATTGTAGGATATTACACTTATCATAGAATTGTTTTCAATTTATATGATCTGTACATTTATATATCATATAAGAAATTATGTATTACATATATATGTATATTTTATACATTTTGATTAAATAATTTATCGAGAAATTGTTAATAATTTTATATCAAACTCATATGTTTTAAACGAACTAATGTTGAATTAAAACAGCAGAATTTAATTCGATTAACACTAAAAACTATCACGTCTAATAAATCATTTAGCGATATTTGATTTATAACATTCTCAAATTTCAGTAAACGACTATTATAATCTTACTTTTGTTGCCATTGATCCTTGCCAAGATTTTCAACATAATATGTCATTGTCACGGGGACATGCAATAGAATAGATTCTTCAAGAAATACACAAAACAGTGTATATACTATGTGCTCTATAATCATTCTTTGGTAACATTAAAGAGCATTAATCTATTAGAGTTTGCATATTTATATACTATTAAAAATTAGTAATTGATAGATAAGTAACTTATTAAAAACTTACATCATATCACTGATTGCTAGGCAATTGTCTATTGAACGTCTGTAAGTTTTTAACAATGTCTCATGAGCTACGTGACTATCTTTAAACTTACCGCCGTCAGTTCTCGAATCTACACAGCGCAAAAGCTGACGTGTTTCGATAGAAACAGCTGATTGAACACGAACACTGTTCGTGCGTTCGTGCAGACGTATCATTATTTTTCATTGTTAGGTTAATATCTCGTTAATTAATAAAATAATGTTGGGGAAAATAAAAACGAAGCAGGAGAAAAGTGGCGGTAAGTGCGAGAATTATCTTGAAAATAAGTAAATTGTAATTGTAAACGCAAGAAAATTGAATAATATAAATACTTTCTTGAGAGGTTATGTTTGTTATTTATTTATTTGCTATTTAAACGCAGCAACATATAAATTATAAATTAATAAAATCATTCACATTGTATCTAATTAATCCACGAAGTAACATAACTAATTAGTCACGATCGATGAGTCTGAATTGTTGAGTGATTTTCGTGTTTCTAAAGAAGTTTTTATATCTTGTGAATATTTTTCTCAGAATTTTTTATATAATTTAAAAAAATGTTTACGTAAACTTCAGAATTTATGAATTGACTTTTTAGAACATTTTTTAGATTTTCTGTACTCATTTCAGATCTTATATTAAATTGTAATATTTTTCATAAGCACTGAGAAAGTCGACATTTTTCTTAGAAGTTCGTTATATATGAAGAATTCTGAAATATATATTCTAAGATTTCTATAATTTTTTATTCTATAATTTCTAATGAAATCTTATCAAATCTGAATTATTAAGTAAGATTATTCGGAAATTATAGTATGAGAAATCTTAGAATATTTCATAATTCACATATATGAAAAATTCTGATTTAAAAAATATAGACTTTCTCAATATTTCTGAAAGGCATTCCAATTTGTATAAAAATTTCCAAAATTTTATCAGAGATATGCAATAGAATTACTAAATCAATGGTCAACTAAAGTAGATATTAAATATGATTATGTATTGCAGAGATTGTTGCATATAGCGAGACGGCTGTTGCAAACAACGCCGCAGTTGTAGAATATTGTAAGATCTCAATGGCAGCTTTATCAGGTGGCACAGCAGGACTGCTAGGATTGACTGTATTGTACGGATTCGTGTTTTACGTCTTTGCAGTTTTCGGACTGTGGGTAAGAGCACTATATTAGAATTAGCAATAATTGTATGTAATGTCACAAATCATCGTCGTAGGCGATGCTGTTGATGAAGGCTGGTGGCCAGTGGAGAAAATATTTTATTAGCAGGCGGCATCTCTTAACAAGTGGATTCTTTGGGGGACTTTGTGTATCCTTTACACTGCTTTCTAAAGTTTCTCTCTAAATTCTTTCAATCTCACTCTAAAAAATGAAAATTGAGCCAATTTTAAAAGAGGTTGACTCAAATTTCAATTTTTAAGTGACATTTCAGTGACTCTTCAGAATAAAATTCACTCTATAAATGTTTTAGAAAGTTTATTTTCGGAGGCTGGCCTATATATTTTTTCCTTAATATGTGATTGCAAAATCTTTTACAGACATACGTATTATTCTGGACGTATCCTTTTTCGCAATATAAATGATACAAACAATATATTTCTATAAATATGCAATACTCAAACAGAACATGAGTAATTGACATCAAAATGACTCCAAAATGATTTCAAAATGATTACCAAAAATCACGATTTATTTTAATACGATTTATTTACAATTACGATTTATTTTAATATCATTTTGATGTTATCATAGGGCTATTCTTTTTAGCTAAAGTTCTTGTACACTTCATCTTTCTTTCTATTCTCTCCAAGTTGGAAAAAAAAAGAAAAAAACTGAATCGTGCAAGTAGTTCATCTAAAAAGAACATGACCCATGACTTGTTGTTTTGCTTGATTGTTTCTTAAGTACGAATACATTATAAATTTCTTAATGATTCTGATTCAGATTTTTATATGGAATGGTTCATGTCTATTGAAAAGAGAAAGGGTGGATGGCTTACAACAATTGTGACACATCACGTAATTATCTAAATAAACAAAGTTGCATAATTATTATAATAAACCAATCATTGTATTTATTTTATTTAAGCCTTTCGAATATTGACCAAATAAATGACGAAGCATTCACGCGTTATTGTACACGTATGTCAATATGTATGTATATACAAGACATGTTTCTTTAAAATGATCACTGGCATTTATTATCCAATATTTAAACGTAAAAGACAATATGAAAGCCAATGCAATAGAGATGTTACATATTCTTTATTAAATGTATGATCTATATGTAGATATATATATTTGCATAATAAATTATTAATTACTAAATTACAATTATTCAATGAAAGTGACTGAAGGTATCATATGCATGTACCTAAACAACGACTGTGAATACATTTAAAAAGTTTATCATTATTTTCATCGTTATCAAGAACTATTATTTAAAATAATATTGTATTTATAATATTATTTTTAATCAACACCATTGAAATAAAAATAAATTAAATTTATTTATGAGATATATCTTTTTAAAATATCTTCAATAAAAATGAATATAAGCGCTTTGACGATTTTCGTGTCAGATGCAATTTCCAATAATTTATTGCATTATATATCTTTATTTTACTGTACATATTTATTTCTGCATACATTTATCAATTCTAAAGTTATTCTAAAATAGAAGAATCTCACGCACTAAAGAAGAGAATAAGAAATCGAGATACAACTTCCGTTAGTTTGTACTTAACATGCTCACATTTTCTACTTCAATGTTTAACTTTATTCATTCGCTACTAGCTAACACTCACTACAAAAACGGAAACTTATATTTGTATGTCATTAAAGAATCATATCTATAGTATTCTTAATAATTATATATATATATAGCTTACTTTGATATATGTTAAAAATCCACGGAAAAACCTTGATTTCGGCAGTGAAAATCAATCGCATTATACGAATATACTTAACACAGGGACGAGTAATAGTTCTTGCGAACTGACGGATAACATTCTTATGTCCATTTCCACCAATGTATAGATTAACTTTAATTTCAGTTTTTAATCTCAGTTTAACTCACTTTTTTATTTTTTTCTAGTTCTGAGAATTAGAAAAAGGTAAGTAGCGTTAAACCGCAATTAAAAAGTTAATTTACATGGCAGAGACGAAGATTAGCGTCATGTCTTTGCTAAAATCTGTAGAAAAATCTCAGATTTTCGTCTCGGAAGTTTGTTCATGCATTCCTGGCTCTTCTCGACAGCTCTCAGCGGCAATTTCGAGAGGCTTTCCAGTTTCCAAACTCTCTAGTCTTCTTTCCTCGTCCATCTTGTCTAGTTCCGCTTTGCTTAAGTGGTAGACTATTCCAGCCCCATAACCATCGCCCAAAACGTTGATCGAAGTCCTGATCCGATCCCTTGAAGCAAAACGATTGCTCTAATTTTACCGTTCTAATCGAACCTGTTGTTCTCAACCGTCTATCAATTATCATCGACTACTAATATATATATAATTTTTAATAGCATATTCAAAGTTTGATCAGATTAGTATTTTTCAATAATCGATAAAAAACGATTATGAGCATACAATGTATAGACACAATAATAGACATGTAACTTACAACATCCAGTCGATAGCGAATAACAGGGAAATATCGTTCGTAGGGAGACCTAAAGCAGTCAGCACCAACAGCATGGTGACTAGAGCTGCGCTGGGAATACTTGCGGCTCCAACGCTCGCCAAAGTAGCCGTAAGACTGTAAAAAGAGTAAATTTTAAAGCAAAGTACATGAATTTTTTTAATTCATTTATTAGATACACTGAAATTCTTTCTTTCAATTATAACTAAGTAGTTGGTGAAACGAAAGAAATCATATTCACGAAATACATGTACCTGACAGTAATGACTTCAACGAATCCCAATGAGATTCCATTCAATTGTGCTATGAAGATTGCGGCTACGGCTTCATAAAGAGCTGTCCCATCCATATTTACCGTGGCACCGACTGCCACAACAAAACGCGTCACTCGTGGATCGATCTTGTTATTTTCTTCGAGACAACGGAAAGTCAATGGCAAGGTTGCAGCGCTATAAACCCATGTATCGATTATATCATTGCTATTCCTTTAAAAAGTTAGTCATGCTAGAAAATTCAATTTTATACACAATTGACTCCATAAATATAAATAAAAAATGGTAGCATCACGATTTTCTAATTAATTTTGAGATAATCTCTGATTAATTTTTGAATTAACTTCAAAATAACGATCACGAAAACTTAAGATTAATTTCAGAAATGTTTTTAATTATTACCTCGAAGCGGTTCCTAGCGCTGTCACCCAGGCTTGCATCATACCTCTGAAGAATACTGCTGGATTCTTTCGGGTCATAAACCAGTAGATCGATGGTAGCGTGATGATTGCGTGAATCATCAAGCCTAATACAACGGTTACCATATACAGACCCAACATTTGAGCGGTTGCCGCCAGATTTGTGATTGACATAATTTTTCCAGCTATCAGACACATAATTCCGAACGGAGAATACCTACAGCGATTGCCAATTGTATTGTCGTAAAAGAGAAAATAAAAAAAAAGAGAAATGTTTTATTTATCTTAAATTTCTATACATTAAGTTAATATTCGTATTCTTATCAACTCATATGCTTGAGCTAAATTTGAATTATGTTTGATCAATTATTGCTTAAGTTTATGTGAAATTATTTTATTGACTTTATTATTTATTTCTTATGTATTTCTATTTTTTATCTCAAACTCTAATTATATGTGTGTGTGTGTGTGTGTGTGTGTGTGTGTGTGTGTGTGTGTGTGTGTGTGTGTGTGTGTATACAGGGTCTAACAACTACCACCTTTCTTCTTAAGAACGTATTCTTAAAATAATTTTAAGACTAAAATCCTATTATAAAAATGTCGAGGCTACAATAGTTTTCGAATTATATAATTGGTTAAAGATAGTATGTAATTCGAAAACTATATTATTATAGCCTCGACATTTTTGTATTAGGATTTTCGTCTTAAAATGTTTAAAAGAATCCAGAAATAATAATAGAGACTATAAAAGTAAAATGGTTTTTGACTTATAAACATTTAAAGTTAGTTTATAATTTAAAAAATTATTGTAGCTTGATATTTTCGTATTAAGATTTTCGTTTCAAAATTACCTCAAGAATAATAAGAGGAAATGCGGTAGTTGTGAGTTACATATATATATATATATATATATATATATGTATATATATTATATGTCAAATTAATAGTTATATTTTTATTGACTATATTCCAAAAACTGAAAAATAAAATTGAATAATGTTATATACTTAATTATTTAAATTTGTGCTCGTGTGAAATTATTTATTGTTTCATACCAAACAACGACGATCGTGACGAGTTTCATGATAATCTCATTCAACACGACGAAAAAATCCACCATCAATTTGCCGCGTGGTCCTATCTGTCCCGCGAGTACACCGAAGATGATGCAAAATACAATCATACCCATCACATTCGTACCGTCCTTGTAAACCAAGATCGGCTCCACTATATATTCGCTTTGATTCGCGCTACCAATTATGACCACCTTTTTCTTCACATAAGAGGTCTGAACCTGCTGAAAGCACGCTTGCACCAGGTTTTCCGGCACCATGTTTCTAAGAACGAAAGATTACAAAAGATTTTTCGAATTTAAATTGTTACTGTGGAGTTATAGAGGCTGATTTTCCATACCGAATTATATCGAGAATTGCGTCTACAGTAGAAACTTTTGTCTCCTCAGCTTTCACCACCGCCGCGGCCGAAGTTTTGATCTGCGGATTACCTGGATGAATCATCAGCACCATCGCAATACCCACTATAGCGGCGAGAATGGTCGTTATTGAGTAGTACGTTAATGCTCTGAATCCTATCCTTCCTGACCTTTGCACATCCAGCTGTGCCATTCCTAAAATAAGTAATTGTTTATACCTTGGAGATGAGGGAGATATGTAGAGACAAGTTGAAAAATTTTAAACGTATAATAGATTTGTTTTTTTCATCTGAACTCTTTACACAATTCATCTTTTCTCTTTTCTCTTTATTTGGAAAAAAAAAGAAAAAAGATAAACGCTACAAGAAGTTTAGAACAGACATAATATCTTTGCTATTTCAACACAAAACTCTGACATTCGAAATTAAATTTTTGTTTTTAATCTTTAAGCAATTAAATTTTATCTTTTTCTTTCCCTTTTTCTATTCATTATCTGCTTAAAAATGGATTGTCGGTGAATTATAATTACCGGATATTAACGATGAGATGATGAGTGGCAAGATAAACATCTTCAACATCCGCATAAGAAGCTCTCCCGGGAAGCTGACGAGGGTTATAGATTGCGGTGTAAAATCTGCCAATCGACCCAGAAACCCGAGAACTAGACCCATCAAAACTCCAGCGATGGTTAGTGCCAGAAGCAAGTTATTTCCCATCCATTCTATCACCTACATTCCCCACAATGCGTAATAAATTTTATGAAGCCACACTGCGTGATATTTTTCTTCCCGGAGCAAATAAGATTCCAAGAAAGTTAATTTTGAGCATCATATACTTTTTGATCACTTTCATTGCGAAGATAAAAGAATATTGAGAAAATAAATTGAAAGTAATAAGGAAGGATTACGCACTGAAAATTTTATTGATTCTACTATAAAAATTTGATTCTTGAAAAAGTTTACTGACCATCTGTAGCCTATCAAGCGCCGTCACTTTGTGCTGCGCTTCGGCCTCGATTTCTTCCTCAGATGTCATCTTCTCGATCTCCTCTACACACGACCTGGAAGATATTCCAGATGAAAAGCAGCCCGAATTTTTGGTAAAAGCATAAGAAATCTTTTTACATATGACTGCCGCTCTCCTTGGCCTCCGTCGAGGCTCCCCGGAGAACTGCAACCGCGCCAGAAATACGTTGCCCCAAAGACATCCTTCTGGCTTTTGAAGACACGTCGCTTCAAGATTTTAGGTGAAACGTAGCACGAGGAATGTCGAAATAGGCCTCGCGAGTCTTCATCCCGCGGCCTTTATAACTGCGTTATACCTTTTCACAATGCGAATCATCCTGATTTTATTCACTGGCTTCCACAATTTGTCTGGATTATCAAATGTAGAAGAAATGTGTATTATTCCTTTACGATAGTTCTTTCATAAGTTTGTCTATGTCAAGAATTATTAAAGAATAAAATTACTTTTCTTCAATGCAATTAAATTACTTAAAGATTTACAGCGTTAAAATATTTTATTTTTATTACTCGTTTAAAAAACTTCTTTTTAATGCAATTCCTTAAGAAAAAGTGTTTCAATGTACTGAATAATTAGTCAGTATATTCAAACACTTTTTCTTAAGAGATTAAATTATTTAGAACTTTATATCGTTAAGAAAATTTCTATTTTTAGTACTTTTTTTAGTGACCTTAAAGGAAACGTCAAATTAAAAATTCAAATGCTTCCACTGTTGCAGCAAAAAATGCTTATGAAAATCCGTGATTATCTTCCTGAATTATCACGATCCTCCGCTTCGCTTCCTGCTCTTTGTGTTTTCTATTGAAAATCAAATTCGGCAAACGAACAATTCTTCTCGCGAACGATTATCGAGGCACGTGCGAACCGTTCGGTAGCGCATCGCGACACACGACGATCCTTTCACGTGAACCACCGGGAACCATCAGGGCAAATTGCACAAGCGCACGATGGAACGCTGGCCCCGATGATGACGGGAGGGAGGGGGAGGGGGGAGGGGGAAAGACGAGGTGGTAAGGCCCCGAAGGAGGTCACAACCGATCTATTACGTTCAGGATCATTGCACCGCTTCAGTTGCGGGCGCGAATGACATCCGCAGAGCTTCCGACGTGCTTTTCGTGATCGCGCAATCGACTGTCGAGAGATCGGATAGATCTGTCGCCACGCCGCGCCGCGCCGGTGAGTTAGGTATCGCGCCGCGGCGTTGGGATCTGCCTGCAATCAGGCCGATAATGTGCCCCATCCAGGAAGTTGATTAGTGCGCGCGTCGGGGGAGGCCCCGGGGAGACGAAAGGCACGCACCGAAAGGGGAAAGGGGGACACACGGCGAGATGAACGGAGATGTGTCACGAGGAGAAAGAGAGACCGGTAGATCACAGGAAGAAGGCACTCATCGCGGCGGGTCGCACGGCACCGAATAATAAATGCCGAAGGGAGTAAAAATGCCGCTGCCCGGTGCATTTCGTAAAAATCGCTGCTTGACGTAAGGCATTCTGAAATGAAGGTAGAGAGAATTAAAATAGCGCTGTATGAGAGGGAAGTCTTTGATGATGATGATATCGGAGCATGAAGAGTGTTGAATACTAGATATCTTCTAATGCGCAATATTCAATTAGAAAGGTGTATGTGAAGCTGAAATATGAACATTGATAGATAGAATAAATATATAATTATATTAATCCAATATATATAATATAAGTAAAATAATATAATAAGACTTTCAATGCTCATTATGGAGGATATTATATACATATATGGATATGCTTATTTACAAGACAAGTACTTTATATCATTAATTGCAAGTTTTATTGTATTTTAAAAAATTACAATATATACATTATTATAATAAGTGACATTAGTAGACACATTAATATACATATAGATCTTATGATAACAATAAATATATAAAATTTGCTTTAAATTGTTATCAAAACTATATTAAATTATTGACATATTAATTTATATTAAATAAATTATAATAATATAATAATAGGTTATTAGTGCTAATGCACAAGTTGTTTTAGTGCGATATAATATACAATACTAAATAAATTAATACATTACAATTATGTTCTCAAACGTTTTGACTTGTCAGTTTCATTATTAATGATTAATAATTAATAATTATTTACATTATAATAATTATTTACATAGTCCAATCAAACATATTGGAAAATGTTGTAAGAATGTACGAAGTTTTGTAACCAAGACAAATCTAGGATCTGCTATGTTCCTCACGGTATAAACGAAATAATCTTATTGTTAGACGAACTTTTATAATGCGATAACAATAGAAAAACAAATGCAATGATAATGAAGAACAAATATATAGTTAACACAATTTAATATTAGACAGTAATAATAGACAGGGGAAGACATTAGAACAATAATATAATTTTTCACTGAAAATGATTAGAGTAAAGGTCGAAACGTTTGAAGACGTAATTGTAATGATATTAACATCTATATAATATATTATATCGCACTAAAACAACTTGCGTATTGGCTCCAATAATCCATTGTTATATTATTGTAATTTATTTAATTTAATTAAATCATCAAATTATATAGTTGATATCAACTGTTAATTTATATTAAGTTATTTTTTAGCTTATATGTTCTTTTTTTCTAACTAATTTTTCTACTGTACTGTTCTTCTGACACCTATCCAAGTAGCAACATGTCTGTTACTGACGCAGTTATCTTGCAGTTAAATTGTTGGCAATACACATTATTGTCTGCATGTGCTACAATGTCGGTATATTCGAAATCGTTGAAGATAAATCTATGGCAAGTTGCTAGCATCATAAACAATCAGATCTGTGCGATTTTGCTGAGACACGTTTTGCTATCTGGGATATCTAATTTAAATTAGACATCTTAAAAACATCATATGATCTCTTTCTGTTAGTTTCATAAGACGTCTACAGTAATTTTAAGACATCTCTTAGATGAATTTAAGATGTCAAAATATTTTCTGAGATTTTATTTATAAAGGATCATAATATGTTACAATTAATTATATTCTACCCAGCTTTTGCAAGCATATTTCGGTTGAAATCATCGATTTCCAAACTTTCGTGAACCTGACAGTGATAAAAGATAACAGTTACGCGGAAATATTTGCGCGTAATTGTTTTAGATGCATGTAGGATACGACCATTTACAAGACCCCTTTGTATATCCGTTGGGAAGTAACCTAATTCCTCTAGCAATGACGGCTATATGAGTGACTATATATAGACTAACATCGGGTTTACGGTGGTAGTATAATACGAGGACAAATCGAATCTCCCCACGATAACGCGTTTAACATCCCGTAACTTCTGAGCGAAAGAGCGAGCCATTCGAGATAGAATTAATTAATGTATTTGAGAAAATTGAGTTACAATTGTCGTCGCTCGTGCATTCCATTTGCATAAGTTCGATTTCTTTTCCTATCTATCTCATGCAATTTATCTTCTTTTTCGCTATTTGTATTTTGGAACAAATTAACTGAAATTACTTCAAAATCATGTTTACAATTATTATTACATTTTGATTTACAAAGCCAAATATTTAATAATTATGTAGAATTAAATTCTTTCGATCGGTTGTTTGATTCCAAATGTTAGATTAGTTAGATGTAAATGCGATGCTGCTGTGAATTGAAGAAATATGTTTCTATGCGAATCTACATGAAAGCGATTTTAATAATTTTCAGATAAAGTAAATATAATTCTATTAAATATAATTCAGACAAAATTAATATAATTCTATTTTCTATAATCCACGTACACAAACGTTTTTCGTGATGATCGAATCATCCTATCATTTATTGTTTAAACAATCCATTATTATGTTGTATAATGGCAAAACTGTGATCAAAAGAATGACAAAGTTAACGAAAGATAGATTAAACTAAATCAATATATATATTTTGCTGTATACATATTTTATAATACCATAACCTTCGATATGTTCTACGAATGCAACTGAATGCAACACGCGTTCTCAATTTACCCGCGTTTCTGCGCACGACTATTACGTATCGTCACGTGGTATCGTCACGTGGTTTGCTCAGCAACGAAAACAGAGCAGACGAAAATTTCCCACGTGTTGCATGTTCAATACGCACGTTTACGCTCCCATTCGCGATGCCTTATGATTCGAGACGTGAACAATACTTTCTCTACAACACTTTGTCGATCCTGCTAAAGGCTGTAGAGAAAACTCGAACGACCGTAGACCTGCGGAATGAGGCGACAATCGTCGGCATTATCGAAAATGCGGACGCGTAAGTAAAGGGTTTTGTTTCTGCTGCGATGTGAAGTTGTCGTACATGTAGGTTAGGCCTAGAGTGTGTTCAAGCATCATGTGCATAATGCTTCATTTATCCTTGTTTAATTGGTGAACAACAAGACGTCTGTTTTTTATTGCTGCACTTTCTGAACCAGTACATAAATATATGTTTGTTCCACTTTAACTTATTGCACCGGTTCAGAGTACAGCAATAAAAAACAGACCTATAGATAAATGATGCATCATGTGTGAAACGGAATGCACCTCCTAATTCTATCGATGTAAGATTAATTTTGTCTTGTTTTAACTTACAATTTGCGTTTATCTTTTTCTAATTAAAAATTCTTAGAATGAATTAAGATTAAAGTTAATCTTACGTTGAAATGAAACCGGGCCTTATAGAGCTTGTTGTTGTATTAAGAAATTTTCTGTTTTTTTTTATGAAAAAATGCATATAAAAATTGGAAAAACCAACGATGTCCCTAAATTCTTTCCTCGAAAATGTCAGCAATTGAAATAACTCCGAAATAAATTATTATCGTCATATACTCTGAACATATTGCTTTCGTTTTCATTTTGTAGATACATGAACATTGTGATGAAAGACTGCGTGTTTACGGATCCCCGCGGAGACTCGTTCAAATATGATATGTTCTTCGTACAGGCACGTAACATTCGCAGCGTCCACGTGCCAATGAACGTGAGTGCATCGAAATCCTTTTCTCCTTTAACGACTATCTCCGTGTCGAGAATCTTGTCCCGGCTTGGCGAGAGTGAAGCGTTCGAATAATCGATCGCACGTTGAGGTTATGTTGCGTTTCGTGACTAAAAAATCGATCTTTCATTCGCTCCTCGGATTACTTATCTAAGCATACTCGGGTCATCAAAGTATTTAGGGTATCTAGAGTTTAGGGTATTTTGTACTTCAGAGTTGCTCAGTCTGACTCTGAAACGTCCCTATAATTGCCGGGTCATATGCCACTCCATTTACTCATACCTGCTGAATTATTCAACTGCATCATGCTAACGTACATCCATTGCTATCGCCTAACATGATGTCGGTAATTGCGCTTCATGGATATGATTAGAAACGTGGGTTTTCGTACTGTCAAGTTATATAAACACAGACACTCTTCTATATGCAAACGAGTGAAACAAGTGACTGATAAAATAGAAATATTTCCTGGTACAACTGTGTGTTCGATTTCTAACGACCGATACGGTTTCGCGTGTAGTAATCCCGCCAAAAGTGACATGGATGTGTTCAAATTCACAGACTATGATTGTATCGGTTTCGACCTGGATAACACGTTGCTGCGTTATAATGTCACGAATCTGGTGTGTATAGAGTATGAGATGCTAGCCAGATTCCTGGTCGAAATACGGGGATATAACAGGAATCTGCTAAAACCACTGACAGATGATGACTTGGACTTCATGCAGAAAGGGTTATTGCTGGACTTGGAAAGGGGAAACTTGCTCAGGATGAGTCCAGATGGTGTTATTCGCAGAGCATGCCATGGTACGTGTTTGCTAAACATGGATCAAATAAGAGAGATATATCCTGAACAGAAATCAGAGATCACTGATATCTTCTGCCACGACGTAATGGCAACTTGGGGTGGTCCTCTGTCAGAGAAAGTCAGGAGTTTGCTGGATTATTTCGATATAGTGGCGAGTCTCGCGTTTGCACGAATTGTAGATGCACTCGACGAAGAACACGGATCATCCTTGGACAGATACAATGTCTGGCCTGACATATTGGCTGGGCTGTTCTACATGTTTTCTAGAGAGCACTTTCAATCGAGCAAGGGAATCTTTGGACACATTAAGAGAAACCCGGAGAAATATCTACTTAAATGTAGCTCGAACACCATCTCGTGGTTGAAAGAAATAAAGAAAATGTCCGCGACCTTTCTTCTTACCGGATCAAACGCGGATTATGTAAATTTTACTGCGAGTTACGCTCTCGGAGAGGACTGGCAATCACTTTTCGATATTGTAATATGTTTCGCGAAGAAGCCAGGATTTTTTATTAATAATCGACCATTTTTCGATGTTATAAATAATAACGAAACCAATACCCCGAGTCAAGATTTAAAACGAGGTGAAATGTACAGTCAAGGAAACTGGAATAAACTATTGGAATTTCTCGCTCATATAACAGGGAAAACTAATCAGCAATGTTTGTACGTTGGCGATAATCTCATACAAGACATTTATGTACCAAATGCATTCGCACATTGTGATACGCTAGTTGTGATCGAAGAACAAATGTCGGAAGGAATGCTTCAACAAGCTTTGACTCATCCAGACGAAAAGATTTTAAATTCGAGGTTTTGGGGGTCTTATTTTTGCTTAAAAGATTCGACGATTAATGTAGACTCTTTATGGGGCCATTTAATAAAGAAACACGCGAAGCTATGTATACCAGATATCAGTTTAGTAACACAGAAATCATTGGAAGAACCTATTCCTTGTTTTGATAAGGATGGAAAGTTATATCGCGGATATTATCCTGCTATACCACTTAGTATATCAGCTATGTAATATAAGAATAGAAATATAGGATTAAGTATATTATATCGTTCGTTATAAAGAAACAATTTTAGCTTAAAAAATTTTACAAGTATTAGAAAAGTTTTAAGTGCTTAGCTTATAAGACTTTTAAATATTATGTATATTCGTACATTTTATTCTGTTGTTGAAAAACCATAATCTCTAATAAAATAGAGCAACTTATTTTTATATTTAGTTTTATCTAATTTAAGTATATTATTATTTAAGATACGGATTATCCCAGCTATCAAGCAACAATTAAATCGATTAAGCCGACCTGCTTGGAAAGATAAGAAACGCACTTTCAAAACAAAATATGCTCAGCAGCGACAACAGGAAGGCCTTGCAGCTGTAGAAAAAATTTTAGAGAGTAGGAATACAACAAAAGACGAAACCACAAAAAATGAAGATAAATGATACTCGTAGATTCTGATTTTATTGTGTATTGCCTAAGTATATGATCATTTTTATTTTGGTTGACTGTTTGTACTTTAAACTTGACAGCTCAGTTTTGTAATATTTTATGTAAATTTACATTTCTGTTTTTTTATACAAAATTTTATTAAATGTACATATATTTTTAAAAAAGAATCACAAAATAAATATTCAATCACATAATTCAATATACGAATATTGTAATAGATCCCTTTATTTAATGTATAACACAAGAAGAAGGCCATTTTTAACAAGAAATGCTTTAATAAGAATATAAGAAATTTTATATAAGATGTATATATTAATAGAGAAGACATTCGTTATTTTCTTTCAATAGCAATGGCAATGCCCATTCCCCCTCCTATGCATAAAGATGCAACACCTTTTTTCTTTCCTGTTCTTTCTAAAGTATGTAACAGAGTGATTAGTATTCTTGTGCCTGAAATATAAAATTTTATCATAAAATTTCTTTTGAATTCTTTTAAAGAAAGTTCAAGCATTAATACATACCTGACATACCAATAGGATGACCTAAGGCGATAGCACCGCCATTTACATTAACTTTTTCAGTGTCTAATCCGAGTTCTTGAATACATGCGATTGCTTGTGCAGCAAAGGCTTCATTTAGTTCGTAAAAATCCACTTCCTCTTTTGTCCAATTCGCTTTTTTTAACTGAAATAAGTGCACATTTTAATTCATAATATCGTGTTGAAATAAAAGTAACACATAAATACTAACTACTAATTTAACAGCTTCAACAGGTCCGATGCCCATAATTTTAGGTTCAACTCCAACCTGTGCAAATGCAACAATACTGGCTAATGGTGAGATTCCTCTATTTGCAGCAGTTTCTTCAGACATGAGCACTACGGCAGCCCCACCATCATTTATACCGGATCCATTGCCGGCAGTAACCGTACCATTACTCTAAATACAATATAATGATTTCAAACGTATATTATCTTTTTTCTAGACAATTATATATTTATAGATATATAGAATATTATATGTCCATACCGGTATAAATGCTGGTTTTAATTTTGCAAGTTTCTCTGTGGTCGTTCCAAATTTCGGGAATTCATCTTTAGACATAACAAAAGTTTCCTTTTTGGTTGTAACGGTTACTGGAACAATTTCCTTATCGAAATATCCGGCATTGATAGCAATCTCTGCCTTCTGTTGAGATTTGCACGCGTAATAATCTTGCTCCTCTCTGCTTATTTTATATTGTTCAGCAAGATTCTCAGCTACCAATAATTGATAATATAAATGATAATACATAAAATTTAAATTTTCCTAGTACAAAAATATAATATTTAGTTATAATATTTTGTAGTCTTGCCTGTGACTCCCATGTGAATATTATGAAAGGAATCTGTTAGACCATCTTCCAATAGTGTATCAACTAAATTACAACTTCCAATTTTCACACCAGACCTGAGATAAATGGCATGCGGTGCTCTACTCATAATTTCTTGACCACCAGCCACAACTATATCGCTTTCCCCTAACTTTATAGAAAAGTAACCATTCATTACAGATCTGTAAGACATGTAATATGTTACATCAAATAGTTCAGGTGATTTTTTTTCTTAACTATATGTATAATATGGAAATAAGTCTGTTTTTTATAGCTGAACTAGTGTACTCTTTGTACTCTTAAAGTGAAATACATTTATATTTAATATTTGGCAAGAGTGAGAAGGAAAGTTTTAATCCAGTGCAGCAATAAAAAACAAACTTAATATCACATGTAGAACAGGTAGACATACTTTAGACCGGAACCACATAACATGTTTATTTGATAAGCAGGTACATCGATAGGTATGCCAGCACGTATTGCTGCTTGTCTTGCAGGATTTTGACCTTCAGTTGCAGAAAATATCTGAAAAAAATGCAACGTATTATAGAAATGCCTTATATGTATATGAATTTAATTGTATTTAAAAATATATATAATTTAATGCTTTATTTCTTCTAGAATTATGAGTACCTGACCCATAATAACTTCAGAAACATCTGATCCTTCCAGTCCAACTCTTATTAAGCATTCTTTGATGGCGATACTTCCCAATACTGATGCTTTTAACGAAGATAAGGACCCACAATATGATCCTACATTTACAGAACAGTAAATTTAATTATTACAAAAACAAGTTTTATATTTATAGCATTTTCTGTAGGAATAATATCCTATGGTAATCAAATAAGATGTAAATTCGCTTCTTTGATGCACAGCACAATTTTTAATATTAGTATATTTTAATATTTGTATATTATGTTTTAATATTTGTATATTTTTACAAACTATTTTTTATTCCACAATTATAGTATTTTTAATGTATCTATAATCATATTCAGCCCTGGGCATGTATTTAAAATATTTTTATTTGAAAAACAGTATTTGTTACACAAATACAATTGTATTTAATATTTTGTGTTTTAAATACTAAGATTGATTATATCTTAATCAATCTTATTATTTGAATTATAAATTACAAAATATATTTTCAATCTTTTGATTTGAAATACAAAATACAATTATATTACAAGTATTGAGTTTAAAATAAAAATATTTCAAATGCATGCCCAACCCTGATTGTATTTTGATACACTAATAACAAAAGAGATAACCTGAATGAATCTCCAAGTGGGTTTGATAAATTTTTATCGCTTATGATAGAATTTTGCGCAAAATATCGTAGAAATTTATTTCAATGGCACTATTCAAATTCAAATTTCGCATTTGTTTAAACTTCAATAATTTAACATTGCAAATTATTACACAGAATTTTACTAGCTGCGTATTTCGTTATTAGTGTTATTACCTATGGGTGTCCTTACAGCAGACACAATCACTACAGTGCGATCGCTCATTTTATGTCCGTGAACAAGCACAACTGAATCTACTGAGAGATACACAAAAACTGCCACGTCTTGACTGAATAACGGAATTATATTAGCTTGACGCCGTGTACCAGGAGCGGCTATATCGTGAAATTGTGTCACGCCGAACATGTACATGCGCGGAAGAAAAGCAGAGAATAAAGAAGGGGAGATCTTGGTAGAGCTGTTTTCGAGTCTTTCGATATGTTTAGGAATTTTACAAAAAAAAAAATTATTACGTAATGCGTGACGAAAATGATTAAAAAAAATGACGTATGTAAAATATACGATAAGATTTAAAAAATAATGACTTTAATGTTGATAAAAAACAACGTTGATAAATACACAATGTTGATAAAAATAACAAATAAATTGGGAATAGGAAGAAATAGTAACTCCAACTAAATAATGTAATGATAATAATGTAATAACACAAGTCTTTAAAATTTTATTTCATGTAATATGCTGATACGTATTAAAGCGAATTCACATAATCATCCAGTAAACAATTTTTTAGACATGAATATGTATAAATGTGTATAAACATACATAAATATTCATAAACATATATGATTATATGAGAAATAATACATTCAGCAAACGAGAATGGATTGAAATGAATTGAAATGGATTCAGATTTTCAGAAATATTCGCGAATGATTTACGAACATTAAAATGAATATTTTTCAATCTTGAATCCATTTTTATTCATTTATTGCATGGAGCATATCTCTATGCCTTTCAATTTAAAAATAATATTAGCTTTTTCTGTGCATTGTGAATACTGTTTAATTCAAAATTTTGAATAGAAAATGCAGTTTTTCAATCCAATTGCATCCAATTGAATCCACTTGAATCCAATTAAATCCAAAAAAAATATTCGCTATTTAAAATACACATTCAAATAGAAAAAAATTTCAATCCATTTTAATCCATTCTCATTTGCTGGGCATCCCTCTTTCTTTTGTAAAATTATTTTTTAGTGCAATAGAAATAGTAATACTAATGTGAAAATATTATAAAAATAATTAAAAGAGTAATTTTCACATATTATTTGTTTTAAAAAAAATCAAGTTTAAAGAAATATAAAAATGGAATCACATGGTACTCGATTTTTTTGACCGAAAGCATGTATGCAAGCATGTATGCATACGTGTATGCTTCTATGTTTGATGCATACAGTGACGTTTGACAAATAACTATTAAAATTAGCAATTGTTTCTTTTGCTTTACATCATTTACATCATTTAAATTAGCAATTGTTTCTTTTGATTTACATCATTTACATTATTTACATGCAGCACACAGCACTCAATGCATGAACGAGTTCTAGCATACATTAGAGCAGGCATGACTGTATGCACATGGAAGCTTTCCAGCAGGCCCAAATCGACACAAGAGTCATTCCGTCTTTGTTTCTCACTGATTATTGAACAAGGACAAAATGACTCTTGTGTCAATTTGTATTTCTTGCTGGAAAGCTCCCCATATTATTATTCAAGAAATTGAGCATCATATCCCAGTAAATGAGAATGAATTAAAATGGATTGAAATTTTTTTCTATCCAAATACGTATTTTATATATATAAATAGCGAATACTTTTTTTGGATTTAATTGGATTCAATTGGATTCAATTAAATTCAATTGGATTCAATTAGATTCAATTGGATGCAATTGGATTGAAAAAACTGCATTTCGTATTCAAAATTTTGAATTGAACAGTATTCACAATGTGTTATGTGTGCACAGAAAAAGCTAATACATATTATCTTTAGATTGAAAGGCGTAGAGTTATGCTCCATGCAATTCCTATAAATGAATAAAAATGCATTCAGGATTGAAAAGCATTTATTTTAACATTCGTGAATCAATATTTCTGAAAATCTGAATCCATTTCAATTCATTTCAATCCATTCTTGTTTGCTGGGATGATTCCATCTAAGAAAAATTGCTCATACACAATGTATATTTTTATATATAAT